TGCCTGGATCTAGAGTCATCTGGGAAGAAAGAATCTCAACTGAGAAATTGACCTAATCAGATTATCCTGTGGCCGTGACTGAGACATTGCTTGATTGATGATTGATGTTGGAGGGCCCGGCCTACTGCAGGCTGCATCATCCCTAGGCAGGTGGGTCTGGGCTGTAGAAGAAAACTAACTGAAACGAGCCGGAGAGCAAGCCAAAAAGGGGCAGCGTTCTTTCATGTTTTCTGATGACTTCCCTCAGTGATGGGCTATGACCTGGAGACTTAAACTGAAGCAAATCCTTCTCCCTTTCCTCCCCACGTTGCATTTTAGTCAGAGTATTTTATCACACCAACAGGAAAGCAAACTAGAGGCCAGTGGCAGGAGGTTCATGAATTAGAAGCTAGCCTGGGATACATAGGAAATTCTGTCTGAAGGAAGGAGGAGAAGGATGAGGAGGGAGACGAATCTGCAAGTGAAGAAACCAAGAAGAAGAAAGAAACCAAGGAAGAATGTTTCAGGCGTTGGGGAAATCAGGAGCAACATGAGATCCTCTCCAGAAGCCTGCTTCTTCCTAGGTATAGATGGTGACTGGATGACTCCTCAGTTACCGGGTTATGGAGCTGTGTCTAACTCCCTGCTGGATCAGAGGACTGTCTCCCTGTGGTGGTTTGTATAGGAATGGCCCCATAGACTCATGTGTTTGAATTCTTGGCCCAGAGGGAGTAGGAGGTGTGGCCTTGTTGGAGCAAGTGTGCCACTGTGGGGGTGGGCTTGTGAGGTCTCAGAAGCTCAGGTCAGATCTCTCACTGCTGCCTGAGAATCAAGATGTAGAACTCTCAGCTCCTTCTCTAAGACCATGTCTGCCTGCATGCCGCCATCTTCTCACCATGTCAATAGTAGACTAAACCTCTGAAACTGTAAGCCAGGCCCAATTAAATGTTTTCCTTTATAAGAATCGCTATCACCAGGCAGTGGTGATTCATGCTTTTAATCCCACTACTTAGGAGGCAGAGGCAGGTAGAACTCTGTGAATCCAGGCCAACTTGGTATTCTTCAGAGCAAATTCCAGGATAGTCAGGGCTACATACAGAGAAACCCTGTCTCAAAAAAAAAAAAAAAAAAAAAAAAAAAAAAAAAAAAAAAAAAAAAAAAAAAAAGTGAAAGAATTGTTGTGGTCATGGTGTCTCTTCACAGAAATAGAAACCCTAGGTAAGACACTCTCCCATTGCAGTCAAGTGACCAAAGTGAAATTTTGTAAAGAAAGTAAGAGGCACCATTTATGTTGTGACAAGGTACTAGGAGTCAATGGTAAGATACTGTGTCTAGCTGTTCCTAAAACAGCATTGCCCTAGAATGGTAGTAGGGTCAGTGAGGGACGGCAGGTGTGAGGTTGGAATCTCAAATCTCCTAGAGATGTTGGAGCAATTTGTTACTCATGTGTGGTGTGTGCATGGTGGGGAGGGGCGGGAGCTGGTTTAAACACACTATGCTGCCAATTGCATAAAAATAGAGCCATCAAATTAGGGATATCACATAATCCTTGTTAACAGTAACAAACAACCATGCTACTACTGCTTCATGTATTTGTGTTTTTCATTATCAGGAGTATATGTTTTCTTTAAAAAATTTTTAAAGGTCACTGTAACACAATAGGCTTGTTACTCTGCCACCAGCTTTGTGCGTCTCACATCCACTGTATCACTTTCTCCGTGTTTTGAATTTAATATTACTTGGTTCATCGTGAACAATATGCTAGACTGTGTGTATGTGGTGTGTGTGTGGTGTGTGTGTGTGTGTGTGTGTGTGTGTATGTGTGTGTAAGTGTATACCAGATTCCCTAAGTGTATGGTAGATGACACCCTAAGACCAAGTTCTCAGCACAAAGGAGATTTATTTGCCCCAGAGGGACAAAGGACTGCCTCTGGGTAGAGAGGAGACAGATGTGGGCCATAGGAAAATGGCGATTTATAAAGGGAATACAGGAAACCCCTGTGTTAGGAGGAATTGGTTTGTTTTGATTAGGTGTTCCAAAAGGGGGCTTTTGATTGCTGGACTTCAATACTTTGATAGCTGGACGTTGACAATCAGCCTCAGGAGGAGGAAGTGGCCAAGTAAGGGAACATACATTGGCGGCTAACTTTAGGAAAGTAATCTAATGTTTTTTAGCAAGACAGAGGGAATGGGGGAAGGGCAAGGCCTGCCACAGTCATGGTGGCTATGTTTGGGCTGGCTAGAGTCCCTTTAGACACCATCTAGATGTATGTAACACATTCTGATGTTTGTATGACATATTTCTCAGAAGAAATCCCTGTGATTAAAGACACATGACTGTGCCGGGCGGTGGTGGCGCACCCCTTTAATCCCAGCACTCGGGAGGCAGAGCCAGGTGCATCTCTGTGCATTCGAGGCCAGCCTGGTCTACAGAGCGAGATCCAGGACAGGCATCAAAACTACACAGAGAAACCCTGTCTCAAAAAACCAAAAAAAAAAAAAAAAAAAAAAAAGACACATGACTGTATGTCAGGTATAGTGACATGTTTCTTGTCACAAAGTGTCTAATTTTATTTCACTTATCTGTGTTTCCTTTTAATTTTTAAAATTTTATTGCATTTATTTATTGATTGTATGTGTGTGCATGTGAAGGCAGAGGATCACTTGTGGGTCCTGGGGATGAATCTTACGTCATCTGACTTGGCAGCAAGTTCCTTGACTGGCCGGGACATCTTGCTGGCTCTCTTCTGTGCCTGTTGGAGGTAAGGGGCAAGAGCCTCCCAGTCAAGCCCTTCACAATGCTGGTCAGGATTGCAAGGGCTGGGCTACATCTCACATTGTGGAGAGTTCAGTCAGTTGAGCAAAGCGCAGACAAGCTTCAGGTCAAGAGGTCATTCTTCCTTGGAGGCCAGCCTTTAGCCACACTCTACATCTGGGGACAGAGGAGGCTCTGCTGCCTTTGGGCCTCCTTCATTTCATTTCCCATAGGGATAGTTCGCATCTAAAAGGGCCAACTGGAAACAGTTCTCAGTGCAAAGATGTTTGAACAGTCAGAGTTGTTTTGTGCGATTCATGTAGAGCTGTTTTGATTGATGTGACTGTCCATTGAAGCTGTTGCTTCTAGATGCCTTCTGGAAGCTTCTAGAAATACAATCATGTGAATCGAACTCTTGGATTATCGATGGGTGGTGAACTGTAGAGACTATGATCCACCTGCTCACCCAGAGATAAGAGCACTCAGTTGTTTCCATTTGCTGTGATGGGGTATGGGGAACAGCATACCCAGCACAGGCTGTGGATATGGCCCCCATGCCATGGGACAGCTGGGTGACCTCAGAGAAGAGTCAGCCTAGGCCTTCTTGGAGATAGTTTGTCCCTGTTCTCATGAGTCTCAGGAGCTGTGTAGACACAGGTGTCTCAGGGTGGCATGCAGAAGCATAACTGCCAGTTCAAGGATGTGGTTCAGTTGGTAGAGTGCCTGTCTCATAAGCATGAAGCCCTAGGTTCAGTACCCATAATCCCATAAACTTGGTGTAAGTGCATGCCTGTAACACCAGCATTTAGGAGGATCAAGTGTTCAAAGTCATCTTTGACTAAACAGCAAGTTTGAGGCCAGCCCAGGATACTGGGGACAAAGAAGTACAATATGAGTTCTGTGTGTCTCAGGTAGAACTTGTATCAAAGAAGACTATTGACTGGGACTTAGAGATGGAGGGCTTACCTAACATGAGCATGGCAGGTCCAGCCCTGGCCACAACTGGGGAAAAAAGAAAAAAAACTATTGGAAACTAAACAGACCTATCTAAATGCTACGCTGGACTCACATGCTGTTCAACCCACATATTTTGCTATCAAGATTTACCCAGAATTCAGAGACGGATGGAAATGGACAGACCACAAACTGTTTTCAAATATCACATCAGGAAAAATGAGATGCCACCGATAAGAGAAGGGAGTCACAGGAAGGAAGTGCGTTCTATTGTCCTCTGAGCGTGCCACAACAGATAGTTTTCACTGCCCTTCTGCAAACTGACCCATTTCCATCATGGAATGGAAATCTTCCTCCCAGAATAAACAGCTCCAGGTTCAGAAAACCACCGCGTTTACCCGCAGGGTTTTACCCACCATTGCGGGTATTCTTAATAATGGGCAGCGAGTTTCATTTTACAAAGTGAAAATGAAAAAAAAGGAAAACGAGGTGGCAATTTCTTAGCTGGGTCCAAACTGTGGGTTTGTGCCTTGACTGAGCCAGAAGCTGTGGAGTGACCGGCAAGCAAATGCTCACCTCTAAGCAACTCCTTTGTGACTTTTCGAATTTGCAAGAACTCTCCATGGATTATGTCTAAGGAGGAAGCATCCTTAAATCGATTTGTTTTGTTTTGTTTTAAAGATCCCAAATTTAGATTAAGAGGCTTCTGACCCAGGTGTCCGGTGAGCATGCGGTGGTCTCCTGATAAGTTGTAGCGGGGGCTTTCACTACTTAATGAAGCCACTACTTGAATGACGCCATCTGTAATCATTTATTTCACCAGGAAAGGACATTTTTTACTAATTCTTAAAGACCTGTCACAGTGTGTGTGTGTGTGTGTGTGTGTGTGTGTGTGTGTGTGTGTGTGTGTGTGTGTGTGTGTGTGTTGGTGGTGGGGATGGTGATGGTGAGGGGGTGGGGGATGGGGATCAAGCTTTTAAAAACGTTTGCCTGTGACCCTGGCTGTGTAAGGCAGGTGTTCGGAGAAACGGCCTAATTAAACACTGCTGTGGCGCTCTGCTGCGTTTCGGACACCCTGAGCTGGTGGGACTTCGTGCTTTTTGTCACAGTCCAATGCTGTCTGTCTTCGGGAATCCGCACGGGTCCAGGACCTTACCGGCCAGGAGCACAGAGGTAGCAGTCCTGATGTGTCCCTCCCAGTCAAAAGACACACTGCAGGGCCGTCGCGGGCGAGGCACAGACCAACGCGACTAGAAATCAGGCTGGTTGGCTTCTCCCGACCAGCCCCACGGCACGGCATGATGTCATGGGAGCTGCCACTCAGCGAGATGAAAGGGATGCGGCACAGCCCGCTGGCACTAGGCAGCCCCGCTGGGGCACCGCGAGAGAAAGCTGCGGATCCAGCGGCTCAGCCCAGGCCGGGGAAAGCCTGCTCTCCGGAGCCGAGGCAGAACAACGTGGCCCACGTTTAACAAAAGAACGTGTGGCCAGGGAGGCGGGAGCCCAGCTAGGAACCCGAGGGTGGCGAACTTTCTAGATCTGCGTGCCTGGTGAGTAAATTCATTCAGCCTTGGCTTTGATGAGCAGCAACTGATAGGCGATCAGATTACAGGCACTCCATCTCCCAGCTCGCCTGCCTTTGATCTGCGCGGGTAATCCATTTTCCTGGATTTGAAGTTTCGTCTGGGCTTGCGCCCACACACATTTTTTGGGAAGGTAGAAGCGTTTGGCGCGGAAGTGTTACCACGCTGCCGAAAGCGTGGGGCTGGAGCACAGGCGGGTAGCAGGTAGGCGTTTGGGTGTGCTTGGAACTTTCACTGAGTTTTTCTCGCGTGTTCAAAATAAAAATGGCTTTCTATCAACTCCCAGCAAGCATGCCTGTAGCCAAGTCCTGCACCAGGCTGCGTGCATGTGAGACTCAATTTGATTCTTGATGCAATTGTTTCGCGGTTTGCACGAGAGTTTTCGATCTGTCATGCAAATCTTACTTGGAAGGCAGTAGTCGAAACAGGACAAAAACAGCCGCGCTAACTTATGTTGAAAGCAGGGTTTCAGACTGGAACTGGCTGAAAAACGACTTTGTTTAGTAAACGGTGGGACTTTGATAAAAATTCTCTCTCTCTCTCTCTCTCTCTCTCTCTCTCTCTCTCTCTCTCTCTCTCTCTCTCTCTCTCTCTCTCTCCCCTCCCTCCCTTTTCTTCCCTCCCTCCCTCTCTCTCCCTCCCTCTGTCTCTGAGCAAAACTCATCTCTGGCAATACTATGAGTTTATTCTCCTCCGGCCTCCAAGATAAGAATCTATCACACGTGTGTCCTTGCCATTTGCATTCCCAAGGGAACCTCTGCAAGGCATTTAGGATTGAAGCCTTTCAAGTGCAAAGCGGAAGAATTCAGAAACAGTGAGGGCCAGGCTGCCCTAGGTTTGGCTAAAAATACTCAGTCAGTCTCTGTAACCTTTGAAAATAGCCGGAGCTTTGTTTACAGAAACACTCACGAGGTTAATATTCTTAAATTAACATTTACTCTAAATATATAGTGACAGCTGTTGTGAGTTACAGATTGCCAACTGTTTACCAAAACTATCTGGCAATCAACAGTTATTATGTTACATGAAGTATTTTAGCCACATTTTCACTTCAATTAGTGCCTTAGAAAACCAAATTATACAGGGCACCGAGCTTGCCAGTTAACTGCTAGTTGTGAATTCATCACTTCTACTTACAGACAGAGAGAGAGAGAGAGAGAGAGAGAGAGAGAGAGAGAGAGAGAGAGAGAGAGACAGACATACACACAGAGATAGAGAGACAGAGATAGCGAGACAGAGACAGAGGCAGACGTGTGTACACACACACACACACACACACACACACACACACACACAAAACCCTCTGCGCTGAGCTGCAGGCACTCACGACAGTGAGAATCAGCTCTGTACCCACACTGGTCTGTTCTAATATTCCGGCTCCAGGTTTATCTGGTAAAATACTTGATTATTGTCATAATGGCTTGTTTTATATTAGCTGGGGACGAGGGAATGTAAATGATAAGAATTCTGATGAAAGGTCTAGAGACTCACTTTATTTTGTGATTAATTTTTCTGATCCAACTAATTAAATTACTTTCAAAACGTCCCTCCTGATAATAGGGCACTTTACATGTTTGGGTTAATGTTAAAATCTTAACAACCATGAAGCAAGACTATTTAGAATCACTGCAGTTACTGTGTTTAGAATGTATCAGTAGGAATTGAACTAACTTGTGTTCAATTGCACCAGGACATTGGCTTTTTAAAAATTGTTTCTTTCTTTCTTTCTTTCTTTTCTTTTTTTTCTAAAAGGGGGTGCTGCCAATCATACTTACCACAGCCTGATTTTTAAACCTTTGATTAAAAGGTTCTCTCCAAATAATAATAATAATAAAAGTGGTGTTTTCAAAGTAATAGCAGAGGTAGTGTGCTTGGAATGTGCTGTCTTGGTTCAGTTGTGGAGATCTGGGAGCATTCTAATGACTGTTTATTCTGCTGCTAGGTTCATTTTAACAAACAGACTCTCCTCAGCGCAAAACAAAGGGGGAGAATTAGCAATTATCTGATTTATTTAGGCTTTGTAGAAAACTAGCTGGGGCAAGTCAAGTCCTTGAAAATCCACTTCAGTGCCTGAATTAATTCAGTTAATTGTTTACTCGTTGTGTCTTTGTTGGGAACTGAAACCTAGCGCATTTGGTTTTAAAGGGAAGACTCTTCCTATGGCACAGGGGTGCTTCAAAAGGCCTTTCTTAATTAATGACCACAGATGCCCCTGCTGGGGATTTAGTAGATATGCCCATGACAGCTCTCCCTTACAATATTCCAGTTTTTACAAAGCATTTCCTATCTCTTGCTTCAATGGCTGCTTTGTTCCTGCAGAAAGGCCAAGGCTTCAAAGGACTCTTCTAGTCCTGATGCTGCTACTAATTAGCTCTGTGACCTTAAGAGGGCCTGCCCGCTGTGTGAAGTGAGGGGCTTGATGCAATCGTTTTCTTTTCCTGGAATGAACGCCACTGGAATAGCTACAGCCCTTTCACATATGGGGAAACTGAGACCCGAGAGTGCGCTCTGTCTTTCCTAAGCCCATGACTGAGCCGGCATGGTCTGCTTTCCAGTTGCTTAACCGAATGTGCTGTGGGGCCGACCAGAGAACAATGTGGGTTTGAAAGGTAGAAATAGCCACTTCCTACTATAATCCCTTCCTTTGTTCCCATGAGAGATATGTCAACTGGATCTGTTGGAACACTTCCCAACTCTTTCTCTGCTTCTGTTTTTCTAAGTATTTCGGAGTTGTCAAAAGACTTGCAGTCATCCTTTTCTTCTGCCATATACATACATATATATGTTTACATATGTGTTTAGTTTTTTGAGAATGGCCTTGTGCTCCTGTTCTGCCTCCACTTCTCAAATGTTGGGATCACAGATATTCACCACTATGCCTGTCCTCCTTAACAACTGAAATAATTCTCATTTATCAGTGATATATGGAAAATGTATGTTAGAGGTGGCGGGGGGGGGGGGGGGGGGGGTTGTGGGGGGGGTGGGGAGGGAGGAAGACTATATATAGAAGTTGACATTATACAAATACATCTCGGTGTGTTTTTTTAAAAATTGGCATTTTCTTAGGAGGTGTCAGTAGGATCCATGAAAAGTTTAATAGCTAATTAAAAACTATTACTTCTAAATGAAGATTTGCCATGGGATTTTGTGAAAGTTCAGTTTGTAAATTCAATACAGCTTCACGTATGATGAGTTAGCGTGCCCCACTTAAGTGTATTGAGAATCATGACGTGCATTCTCATGAACTTTTTGCTTTCTTGGAAAAATTTTGTTGTAAAAAATTTTAATTTGGGTATTGATTAAGTCTTATACCTGTCTATTGCTTTCAAAGCCAAATAGCTAGCTGTCCTTTGTATTCTTTCTTTTTTTAAGATTTATTTTTATTTATGTGTGGGGTGTGTGTATGTCTCTGTGTGTGTATCAGATGGGTGCTGTGGCCAGAAGAAGGCACTGGATCCTAGGGCCGGGTTTAGAGGTGGTTGTGAGCCACTAACACGACCTAGGTTCTGGGGCCTAAACTTGGGTTCCCTGGAAGAGCAGGAAGTGCTCTTAACCGCTACACCACTCTCTAGTCTCCTTTCTACTGTCTGTCATCAATCTTATAAAAGTTCATGTAAATCTTCATGGATTGTTACTTCCATTTATTATTTCACTAGTTATTGATGTAATAATATCAAGCATTCCAGCCACACGAATAGTATATTTTAAAAACTTTATCAGCCGGGCGGTGGTGGCGCACGCCTTTAATCCCAGCACTCGGGAGGCAGAGCCAGGCGGATCTCTGTGAGTTCGAGGCCAGCCTGGTCTCCAAAGCGAGTTCCAGGAAAGGCGCAAAGCTACACAGAGAAACCCTGTCTCGAAAAACCAAAAAAAAAAATAAATAAATAAAAAAAATAAAAACTTTATCATTTAAATAAACAACTAATAAAGTTGCGACTCCTCCCATTATATGCAGAGGGAAAGTGAGTCTGAGAGGAGTTGAATTGCAAGTTCAGGGTCACAGGATTAATTCAGTAGAGTGCAAGCGTCTATCTAACTTCAAATCTTACATCCTTTGTTCTCAGGCTAGGCTGTTCCTCCAGTTACATAAAGCTGAACTCCACTGTGAGCAAACACTGTACCTAAGATTTTTGGCCAAAACAAACAAAACAAAATGGGTCCTTTTTTTTCTCTTTCTTTAGACATTTTTATAAGAATTAGCTGGCCTAGACTCTCAGTTCATAAAGGGACTCAAAACATAAACCTTTCCTTTAAGAGTGAACTGAATTCAGGCACCCATCGCCACTGGCTGGTCAGACACTCTAATGGCCGTGCCACTCCAGGGCATTCCGGGAAAACTTAGGATTCTGTGCTCCTCTAAAGAGGATCCCTTAACTTGTATACGTCTGGTTTAGAGGACTGGATAAGATGAATGAGGAGAGAAAAGAGGAAGTCTCCCTGGTGTGTTCTGCGCCTTCCAAAACTGCTCTTGTGTAGTTAGTGACTTGCCCAAGGCTCACATCCTAGATTGAGAAGGCGCTTACTATCACCCATGGTGACTTCAATCTTTGATGAGAAGGGAAGGAGAGGCCAGGAGGAGGTCAAGTGACTTTAAGAAGCTTTTTCTTCCAACAATAATATGCTTCCTTCCATCCTGTTAGCTGTCTCCAGTAGACCAGTAACCCAACAGCCTTACACTGTGGGCTGTGGCCCAGCCAGCCTATTCCTTAATCTAGCCTCCTGTGGAGAAGGGCACAGAGTAGTGTGAGTGGATGGTCATCTACTTGGGGGTTAGAGGTCATGAACTCTAGAGCATCATTCCAAGGGCTCCAACTTGAAACAAGTTTGCTCTGTGAATGTCACAAGGTTGACTAAACAGCCTCTTTCCTCTTTGTGTAGATGTTAGTGGTATGGTCAAGATTATGTTAGAATTCGGGGAGCCCAGAATTTGATCCTGGCTTGATTATTAACTTACTGTATGACTTTGA